GCAGCTGGTTGGACTCAGGTCCAGAGGCATCAGCTCAGGGAGCGTCGATTGCAGAGTCCCATCACCGACGAAGAAGCACTCGCGTGACAGCAAGAAGTCACCGGTCTCATCAGAGTAGTACTCATGTCCGAACCTTGAGAGGATCTCTAGGAAGCTGTGCAGCGAAGGGACATTGGTCCCTGCCATGCTTGAGAGGATGATGCTGCGGAGTGCCTCCCGGCTGATGAGCCACTCTAGCTGGAGCTAGAACAACACATTGGTGTTCTGGATCCCATACTAGAGGTCCAGGAGGACATGCCAGAAGCGGTGGGGCGGTGATAGCACCTCTCTAATGGCAATCTGGTGATGGACATTCGCCAGCATGTAGAACATCTAACGACGCTCTGCCAGGGTGAGATTCAGGTCCAAACCAAGCCGGATCTGCCTGGCGAGGACCTCGAGGTTCGCTCCTAGGAGGCCCAGCAGAGGGTATAACGCCAGGAACTCTTTGACCGCCGGCGCAGTCTCCTTGAGGGGGTGAAGTTCACCGCTATCGAACTTCGCTGGGGGCGAAGGCACCGACGGCAATGATGACCTCATAGGAGAAGTGCACGCCGCCTTCTGGGGCGGCGCCGTCTGCTCCGACGATGAGACTAGTGGCTTTCACCATAGTAGAGCTGTTATCAGACATGATGTGCTCCCCTACTTGGGGCGCCAGCTATCATGGGTTTGTAACCGCGGTGAGCATCATGGTTGTTCGTCGAATGACGATGTGTGGGTCTCCGGTGGCTTGGACACTCAAAAACACAAGAGAAACACAACTATCAATCCTAGTCCAGGCTTTTGAGCACTACGTCTAGCAGTGTTGTGTTCTACATGTTAAGGAATGCCCAAGTCGGGCATTACAACGATGGAGATCGAGTGAATTCGGTTGGAGATCGTTCGGTGCTATCCTATGGGTTTGTCGGTGATCTTCCGCAGCGATTAAGAAATCGTCCTTCTCTAGCTGAGGTTCTCTCTAGTTTGCTTGTGAACCATCCCACCATTCTACAGGGGTAGGCCCTCCCCTTATATTCTGAGAAGAGCTCAGGTACAAGTCAGTTTGGGTTCTAGTCTCTGGTCCATGTCACACAGTGCACACGATGTGGATGAACCTTGCCTTGTCACATAGGGAGGAGTTGATGGAGCTGCAACCACCCCCTAACGCCGCTACCATTCGCTTGACTCTTGACCGTTAGGAGCTGTTTGCTTTGACGCTGCCTCTCCCGGATGAACCTTCTCGATGCTTCCTGTGCAGGCAAGAAGACCTTGGTTGGAGGGGCTGACGAGTGGGCCCTGGAGCCCACTACCCCTAGAGTTCATGAAGCTGCTTGTCCTATTGTGTCACTCCGGTTGTGTGACCCTATCGAAGGAGTGGCCGACAGAGCCTCGCACCCATTAAATAGGCAAATAGCATGGAGTCTCTGTACCTACCAGGCCTCAGATGCCTGGAAGGTTGCCCATGGCTTGGGACATTGGTTTGCCATCTAAGCGCTAGCTCAGGCCTATGCCGGGTTGGAGTCAGGCTTGGGCTGCCGTCGCTCAGTAGTCCGGGGCCTTAGAAAGCCCTTGAGCTCCGATTAGTGGCCACAGGTGTGCTTGGGCTCTTCCTGACTTCTTCTAGAGGGTGAGGGTGAGTGTAATGGGTATAGCCCTAAGCCCCTATGTGATCTATGAGATCGGTTGAGGGGTCCGTCGGTCGGCCCCTTCCTTCCCGGTGACTTAGCATACCCCTATGTTTTACTCTTGTTAACAACGTAGGGGGTAGCTATGCACTCCCACATCCTTATTATGTTCTCTTTTTTAAGTTTTGGGTGATCTAGATCTAGATCTAGAATTAGATCTATGGTGGAGGAGAGAGAAATAAGATCTGGTTCTTCATTTTCTTGAATTTCTTTGTAAACTGCTATACATTTATCTTGTTTGCTATGTGTGCAAGGTTAACTGGCATGGAAAGGTTAGAATGGATGTACCAGCTATCGTGACTATCACATTCCTTCATATGTTTGTTTGACACTGCTTGAAAGCATACTCTAAGTGTGAATCGGCTGGGAATCATATGTTTGTGTTCTTACTACAAGAACAAGCTTATCCTAGAAGTTGGTGAGGTGCAATCTCACTTGATCAATTGGGGTTTCGTCGAGAAACACACGGTCTAGAGGTTTCACAGTGAACGAGATGATGCAAGTGGTGTTGCATCAGGAGGAAACTCATCATCATCGATGATAGTGAATGTAGATCATGGAGTAGGACCCTCATCATCATTAGTCGGGGGCACATCATTGTTGGCGAGAATGCTGATTTCATCACGATCGATGATTTTGTCTAAGACATGGCCAACGACGGGGGTGACACTGATGAGGACGATGAGTCGGCCATGGTGGACCGGGAGGATGGGGAGCTTTTTGAGTAATTTATTAACCGCCTTGATGATGACGACCTTCTGTTTGGGAGCCCAAGGTGGCTAGAAAATTTCAAAGAGATGAAGCAATTGGCAAAGGATCTGCTCTATAAGGACTGTCCAAAGCAATGGATGGCGTTGCGTTTTGATCACCAGATGGTGTTGCTGCTGAAGGATCGTTTTGGTTTGTCCGACACTAGCTTCATGAGTGTTATGTATCCTTGGTTCCGTGCTTCCAAAGGATAACAAAGTGGTAGCGAATACCAATCGAGCGAAGAAGCTAATCCGGCCAGTGACGCTGAATCTTCAAAAGATCCATGCATGCATCTGGCGATCGCACGAAGGATGACGACAAGTTGCGACACCCTGCCAATGCACAACTGATGTACCTCGAGGATCCCAAACCCACGATTTCAGAACTGAGAAGAAGAAGAAGAAGCATAGCAATAGAATAACCGTGAGGCACAACTTCTCGGTATGTATCAAAAGTCGTATGTGCTATTATATCGTGCATACTCCGTATATGTTTTAACCAATTGTGTATTATATGTCGTGCAGCATGCAAAACAACCTATAGGGACATTATTATGTAGATTATACACTTGCGAGTACCTTGGAGAGTCTAAGAAATTCAGCATCGGCCATAGAGAGCTAGTGGACATATGGACAAGAGTCATGCACCATTGGGTTTATGAAAAGGGAGAGTACTTCAACCGCGACAACGACTAGATGTGGCATGACAAGTACGAGAAGATTAGAAACTGGCCGGAGAAGCTAGTCCTAGGAGATTACAAGATGGCTGGGATTTTTTATGACTAGAAAATATTTGAAGTGTATATGTAACTTGTTGTTCGTTCTACAATGATACGAGACACGAATGTGATATGCATATATAGTCGTAACTTGTTGCTCTCCATATGTGTATTTTCTATGTTCTCAGTATATATTGTCTATGTTTAAATTGTAAAAACAGAATTCAAATTGAAATTAAATGGTGGGAAACTATTTTTTTAAACGAGAATATGATTAACGGAGGCGATCATATTAAAAAGGGTCACCTCTATTAATCCACTAGCGGAGGCGGACGCCTTAGCACTGAGGCTCCGTTAATAGTTATTAACGCTGGCAGTTGTTGTAAGGCTACCGCTTGCGTTAATGTTGTTAATAGCCATAAAGCTGTGTTAACGCGGGCTTTTTGGCCGAGGCGGATACTTTGCCAGCTTCGTGTAAACTGTTTTCCCGCCTGTAATAAGATTCCTGCAGTAGTGATTGTGTCTAGACCGGCAAAACATAATCTGTATTTATACCTTTGTCTTTACAACTTGGATTTTATTTTCCTCTTTCTTTCTTTCCAAATGTTGAGCACTTGATCAACTTGTGGCCACCTCTCATCTCCTCCATGAGTGCCATCCTTACTCAACCTTGGTGTGGACATAACCTATCTCAATCACAACACCTAGGATAGAAGTTAGTCCACTAGTTGTCTCAATTACCAAACCAAACATAGGGATTTCAGCGTGCCTGCCTCCATTAAAGTTTGGCCCCTATCTCACAAATTATTTTTGTAGTAGTGGTAACCATAGAAAATAAAAAGTATTACACAAAAATAATAAATTAAATTAATAAACTAGAATATGGGAAAATTAGATCACTGTTAGGTCTAAACCTAAAGCCGGTAGTGTTACTTAAAGAATCACCGCTGGCTCAACTACAAATTCGGCAATGATCTCAAGGATATCACTGCCAGTTGCAATGCAAGCCGGTAGTGTTACTCAACAAATCACTTTCGCTTCTAATCCTAACCCGACAGTAATCTTAAGACTATCAGTAATGTTGGATATCCCTGCCAGGTTAGGGGAACCGGCAGTGATAGAAAAAGCCTATCACTGCCAATGCCCGCTATCGGCTTGTTATCTGGCAGCGATAAGAGGTTGAGACCCGGCGGTGATCAGCTGTTGAGGTAGTCGTAAGTTGTCAGAGCGACCTTTATCGACTCTAATGGAATCGCAGATGTAGGCCAGGTATATACTACTATATTCTGGGTAGATGTTCTGGTTTTGTACATCGGCAATTCTCTGTGGGATGCAGCTTCGCAGCACTTGGCACAAGTAGTCAATGTTATTTTGTCCTCGCCCAGCCCAAACACATAGATTGTGTTCCGGTCTTAGGATTAATAGTCACTATACTCTTTTCAAGGCTTTGTACTAAGCTTCTTCCTTTACCAAAAAAATCTAACAGGCGGGGACAGAAGTACATAGGTAATCTTAATGCATCTCGCCTCTTTTTCAATGAGAAAATGCAATATATTTTCAATCCTCACTAACATTTTATCTCACCATGCAAGCTATCTGCATCAGCATCCACTAGCATATCCTGCTAAGACATGCAATTATCTCTTTATGAAGCGCTCGGTTTAGTCTGGCCAACTTCCAACGCTACATGCAGTCAATTCCAACAGTTCATTAACATTTGCTATTATCCTGTACTATAAATTAAGCCTGCGGCAGCAGGAACCCATCTCATCAAGCCCATATAGTTGAAAAACCCATCTCATCAAGCCATGATAAGGACTAAGGCCGCAATGCATGAGAGCCGGAGCATGCAGCACGGTGAAGGCCCTGCCGCGGTGCTCGCCATCGCGACAGCAAACCCGTCCGGCACCATCCTGTCCCAGGACGAATTCGCCGACCAGTTCTTCCGCGTAACCAAAAGCGATCACCTTATTGGCCTGAAGGAAAAGTTAATAAGAATATGTAAGTCTATATAAGCATGCACATGCTACATGTTTTTTTAGCCTGGACTTCTATGTATGCAAGTTGTAGTATTCTAATTCTACTCAAGTGGAGAGGGGTGCACGAAGATGGAGGCTGATGAGAGGGCCCTAAGGAACAAGGAACATCTACTTGATCAGGAGCAGGGACTTTTGCCGCTCTTTGCTTGCAGCCTCCGCTGCTTCGCGGACTAGCCGCCGTGCCACCGTGTGCAGATGCAATTCAGGTCGCCTGGTGATGGCGTCATTTCTCCCTCCTTCACGTCTAGAGGAACACGATGCGCCTACCCCACTAGGGGCGCCATTCCCGTTGGTGACGACACGTTGCCCTGTGTGCCACGGTGGCCGTTGCCTGCATGCCGGGATCCCGCTGACGTGTCTCCTACGTGTGGAGATTAGGAGGGATGTCGTGCTGTGAGGGAGAGTGGAGGGGATATACAGCACTACTACACGTCATCACAGCCGGTTCTAAAACCTCACTAGTATCGCCGATTTTGGCGATCGATTTGTTTTAATCCTGAGAAGCCTTCAACGGTTGGTAACACAAGTCACTAAGTCATGTGAATTTTTTGCATGATGGGCAGGGGTGGGATTTGAACATAGGACCTATATCCTCGTGTGTAGCTCCTCTAACCATTGCGCCCAAAGTCATCTATTCTCATAGTATTTACTTTTCAAAATTTTAAAATAAATATTTGGGATCATAAATGGCTTCAAATAATTGTAACTTTCATCGAGATATACAACTTTGGTTTTGGTCATTTTGCCTGCTGAGGTCGTTTGACAAATTTGAATTTCAAATTGTGACAACTTGAACCACACTTTTAGGACCTCAAATAATTTCATATGAAAAACTACTAAATTATAGCTCTAATTGAGATCTACAACTTTAGTTTTGGTATATTTTCTAGCCGAGATAGTTTATAAAATTTGAATTTCAAAATGTTAGACAAATACAAATTTGAGTAAATGTTTTCCAATGAAAAAATTATTTGTCTAATAGGTTTTGTCTATGGTATATGCTCTTCGAAAACCTGTTTTTTATGGCCAACACATCATAGACCTATTTTGATGAGGGTGTCTCTGATGTCATGTTAGAGACGTGTTTTGTTTTTGCATCACTAAATTTGGTTTCTCAAGTCTGGTTTTTTTTTTTCAAAATTCGGATTGTTGTATCTTTTTCTATCTTAATGAAATGATATGTAGCTCTTCTACGTAGTTCGAGAAAAAAAGGTTCCTTCTTTGTGCTGTTTTATCATAGTGCAACTCACAAACTAGTGTTACGACTAGATTTACAAATGGTGGTGAAAAACACTTGGTAGGTCATTTTTTTACCTGGCCGTTGCTACGGAGGCTGGCAACTCCTTTGCTTGAAGATCTGTGTAAATGGGTGGTTCCCAGAGGCAGGCAAGGAACCACCACTACAAGGAAAATAGTTATTTTTTAATATGAAGTCTAGGTGTCGCACTAAACAATTCATAATTTTTTAATATGAAGTCAGATGAAGTCGAACATTATATGATAATTATGGAGATGAATGAGATCTAAAACTTTATATTTGATAATTTTTTTTGAGATTGTGTAGAGGACAAAATGTATGTTTTTAGTTTTTAGATTTATAAATTTATTTTTTATAAGTTTTCAAGCCATCTCGATGGAGACATGTCATATAGCAAAGTTATATGCTCCATAAGGTCTTAAATTTTGTAGTTGAACTTTTCTTCATTGATGGTCATTTAGTTTATCCAATGCAATATTCGTCAAATTTAATACAAAAGGGTAGTACACAATACTTAGTCACAGGTGACTACGTGGCATGGATAGAATTTGCTATCTTTATGTCCAACTTTTAATTTGAAAATTCATTTTGATAGGCTGTTGAAGTTTCCACTGACTGCAATTATAACTTTATTTCTGAGGTTTTAACAACTTCCCTTAGAAATTGAATCTGACTACAACTAAAACGGTGTATGTAGTTCATTTATAGAGGCTAACCACCTAAGGCACCTAACTTTGTAAATCAATTTTGAGATGACGTTGGTCTAGGTGGCCCACCTCTATAAATAAAAAATGACAAAAATAGCAAAAAGTTTTACTTTAATCTCAAGACAGCTCAGCTAAGTCACAAGTCTCACGATTTTTCAAATGGATTGAAAAAATAGAATCATTCCATTTATAACTTTGGTGAGAACAATTTCCAAATTAAAGGATCTACCTATTGAAAATAAAAAATGAAAAGTCATTTTTTTAAATAGACACTACTAATGAGAGTATTTGTAAAAGGCGGCAGGGAAGCCTCTATACAGGTAGCTGGTCCAGTCGCCTCTATTTTTCCGTCTCTGCGAATGAACAATTTGTAGAGATAGTTATCTAGTCACCTCTATAAATTGAATTTCTAGGGACGCCTTTAGAAATCAAGTTTGTAGACACAGCTTCAAATACAGCAACCTTTACAAATCGTTGTTCGGAAATCATAAATTTGGGCCCAAAAAATAGCAGAATTCTCCTCTAATCACTTCACCCTAAAAATAGTTAAGTCCATAGGGCATATTCATTCCCCTCGTGTTATGTTTTTGGGATTTTGAAATGAGTATTTGGGACCCTAACTGAATTCGCATGAAAAAAGTTTTCAACTGCAAAGTTATACATATTGTTGAGTTCTAAAACTTTCGTTTTGGTCGTTATCCATCTGAGGTCATTTAAAAACATCGAATTTTAATGTGCTCTAGATCGAGCTGCCTACAAATCAATTTTTACAGGCGGCTTTAGATCCATTTGTAGAGGAACTGTATCTAGAGTCACCTCTAAAAATAGGGGCATTTGTAGAAGCAGCTAAAAATAGCAGTCATCTTTACAAATACATTTCTAGAGCGGCTTAGTTCGAACCGATTTGTAGAGGCGGTAGTAGATTGAGCCACCTCTATTAAAAAGAAGAAGATATCTCTAGAAATCATATCTATAGTAGTGAGATCGAATAGTTTTTAAGGCGTATTTGGGCCCCTAAATTATCTGAAAAAAAATGTTGTTGACTACAAGTTGTAGATCATGTTAAGGTCTACAACTTTGGTATAGACGCTATCAATAACCAAAGTTTGGAATTTCAAATTCTAAGAGCATAAAATTAGTGTTTGGGATTATAACAATCTCAAATAAAAACCACTACAAAGTTGTAGGTCGCATCGACCACTATAACTTTAGTGTTGACCTTGTCAACATCTGAGATCTCATGTTGGAAAATTCAAAAAAAATTAAAATATAATAATCTAAAACAATTATCTAGGGTTCTAAATAATCTCTGATAAAAGTACAATGACTATAAAATTGTAGGTTGCACCGAGATCAGTAATTTTGATATAGAACTCGTCTTCATTTGAACACATAAAAATCTTATGAGTTCTTGTGTTCGTAAAATATTTACATAGGCAAACCCTTAAGAGATCTGCCTCCACGTATTTGCATTCGTTTCTTAGGAGATTATTATCTCTAAAAAAAATAGATTCACAAACGCTGCCCTTGATCATTAGGTCCCTAGGTGATATATAGATATGGCATACGGATCGAGAGATCTACGTCTGGAAATAAAATCTTGCTAGTATTTTTGTACACAAAATTGTTTCCACGGTAGAGGTCGTTCTTTTGTGTTGAAGCATTTATTATCGTGGATTTTGTAGATGTTCACGTGTCATGGTTGTCTAGATTTTTCAGGCTATAGGTCCGCTGCATCACTTGTATATGTACTGTACATGTTGCCTTTTCAAGTACGGGAAACGGTATAAGCTCAACCGACTGAGTTTTTTGCACTCATACTAGAGATCAAAATAATGGTATAGCTACATATATATAAATAAACTGTCTGAAGTTTCAAATTTGATTTCAGGCAATAAAACAGGCATAGAGAAGCGGCACTTCCACATGACCGAAGAAATACTCCGTGCCCACCCGGAGTTCGTCGACAGAGCTCTTCCATCCCTTGATGCTCGCAGCAACATTGTTGCAACCGAAGTCCCCAAGCTCGCAGAGTCCGCCTCGGTGAAGGCCATCGCCGAGTGGGGACGTCCAGCCACCGACATCACCCACCTCATCTTCAGCACCTACTCCGCCTCCGGTGCCCCGAGTGCTGACCTGCAGCTAGCCTCCCTCCTCGGCCTCCGCCCTTCTGTCTGCCGCACCATACTCAGCCTCCACGGCTGCTACGGCGGTGGCAGGGCACTTCACTTGGCAAAGGAGCTCGCCGAGAACAACCGCGGCGCGCGTGTCCTCGTGGCCTGCTCTGAAATCACCCTCGTCTGCTTCGGCGGTCCCGACGGGAGCAACCTCGTCGGCCACGCTTTATTCGGGGACGGCGCTGGCGCTGTCATCGTTGGCGCTGGCCCCTTGACCGCCGGCGAACGCCCGCTGTTCGAGATGGTTTCCGCCACACAGACGACGATACCAGAGACAGAGTACGCGCTGGGCATGCAAGTCTCAGCAGGCGGCCTAGATTTCCACCTCGCCATCCAGGTGCCGATGCTGCTGGGACAGAACGTCGAGTGGGCCCTGCTCAACGCCTTTAGGTCGGCGCTGGGAGACGACGTCGAGGTGACATGGAACGACCTATTCTGGGCTGTGCATCCGGGTGGCCGCCCAATCTTGGATAAGATAGAGGAAGTACTTGAGCTGGAGCCAGGGAAGCTGGCGGCCAGCCGGCACGTTCTGCGGGAATACGGAAACATGAGCGGCGCAACCATAGTCTTCGTGCTGGATGAGCTACGACGCCGCCGCCTTAGGGAAGAGAAAGGCGACCATGACCACCAGCTACCGGAGTTGGGGGTGATGATGGCCTTCGGACCCGGAATCACAATCGAGACGATGGTGCTGCGCATCCCGAGCGATCCCAAGAAGAATTAGCTGGTTATTATATGTATTTAATGTGACCTTGTTGGCATTGCATGCTACTAGTAACTTGCATCATGTTGAATAATTGCTACGGCCATGTAAGTGTACATGTGTGACTTGGTCAAATACTGTAGTTAAGTGTGTACGTGTGTATTCAGTTCAGCTGTTCCAAATAAACTAATGGTCTATATGTGTTGGATACACTAATATAATTATGATCATCTCTATATTTTTACTTGCAAAAATTTTCCGTGCATTGCAGCACGGATACAACCAATAAACCATATGTATTTTTCTCATTTCATTAATAGAGAAAACGATATGATTACATGCTGAATCCATGGCTTGGTTAGTGATTTGTGCCCTCAAATGTTTCGAAACACAGCATCTGCAGCTCAGTTTTCCTATAACAAGCCTAGCGCCTTAGCTACCGCTGAGGTCCAGAGGTGCCCTTGGTCGCATGCTTCTTTGGTCGCATATGCCTCTTGAAGCAACGACGATACTGATGTACAGATGCCATCAATTACGCATCGGTTCCCCTTCGCAAAAAAAAAAAAAAAAAAAAAAAAATGACGCATCGGTTCCAATGGTTGCAAAGCATCCAAGCAAGGAGAACTGATCAAAGTGTTGAAACCCTTCGTCGTCACCTTGGTTGTTGGCCGCGACACACTTCGCTAACAAGCATAGAAGTCATCGTAACCCAGTGAAGGAGTAAGGATGTTTGGCCGACTCGATGTAGAGCCGTATGGCAAACTTGATGCGGGAACACACAAGTGGTTAGGATATGGTAGATCATCTCTTCATCTTGGTCGCAGAGGGGACAGTGTTGAGGGTGTGGTAGGCTACATCGTGTTAGGCGGTCCGCAGTCCAGCACCGCCGATGCGCTGTCATCCACAGAAAGAACTTGTACTTCAACGGTGTCCAAGACTTCCAAATGCGCTTGTAAAGCTCAAAGGAGACTGCTCCCGTAGAGAACTGATGATAGGTCGATTTGGCCGAGTATAGGATGGAGCTCGATGGTTTTCACACATGGACGTCGTCCTCTTGATCCGCATGCAACTAAACTTGAGCTAGTACATAATAGATGGTCCGAAATTTGTGAGGCCCTTTGGGCTACAAGTACTGCTGGTTCTGTTGGGTTGAATCTAGCCCAACAGCTTTGGGCTCTCCCACTTCTCCTTCCCCTCTTCCTTTTCTGCTGCGATATTGATAGTGTCATCGACCTGCCTTCGAGATCTCTGGTGTCCCTCTGTGATCCAGGCGAGGTTGCTCACATGAATTTCTTGCTATTGCCACTTCTAATTGGCGAGCCCTCTTCCAAATATATCTCTTTATCTCTTTGACCATGCTCAACCTAGCTAGCTTGCTCCTTGTCCCATGCCATCAGCCTCCACTCCAACCACTGGGCCACCTTCAACATACCTGGATCACTCGTGCATATCCACACCTCCCTCCATAGCTCCACTGGCTTTAATCTGTTGAAGAGGTTGTTGTACCTTTCTCCCCGTGCAAAGCTGCTCCCTCAAAAGACATGCTGAGGCGTCGATGTCCTTTTATCGACTACAAAATCACCTCAAAACAGCTCTAGGACAGGCACCACATAGGCTCTACATCACTAGCCTCTAGCGAAACTACCCGATCGAGGATGAAACTCGCCCCCAATCTTCTTCGCGCGAAACCCCATCCTCCTTTGAGGAACCCAAGGCACTTGGTCGCAACCAATTGCACAGAGTAGCAGTAGTCAAATTTCCCACTCTTGAACGGGCTAGGACCGTTAGAATCCGGCGATCATTGGGATTTTCTCTTTGTTCAGCACTGGTTTGTCATCCGCTCTGAAGCTAATATTTCTGGATGACCATCCTTCGGCTAGATTTAGGTTAAAAGAATCAAACACACACATCACTACCCCTGACGAAATCACTGCAGGTTCAAACCCTCCTATCACTCCCAGAATTTGGATCGGCGGAAGGAAAGCGGCGGTGATTATCACTGCCGGTTCAAAAAATTGGCAGTGATAACAAACTTCACTCTGGTTCGTAACACCAAACAGCAGTGTTAATTTGAGCAAAACTGCCGCTTCGTAACAACAACCGGCAGTGTCGATTTGAGCAACACTGTCGGATTAGAACCTAAACTAGCATTGATATACCTATGATCTTTGCCGGATCTGGACTGCAACCGGCAGTGTTGCTGTGAGTAACACTGCTGGTTCAGTACTTAAGCTGGTAGTGCTAGCTATACCTATGATCACTGCCGGCTTGTTGGTGACCCGGAAGTGATCCAATTTTCCCATATTTTTATTTAATAATTGATTTTATTATTTTTGTCTAATACTTTTTATTTCCTTTGGTTACTAGACCCACATACATCACAAATCTATCAAGATTTATATTACAAATGTTACAGTAATGTATTTGTTACAATTACAATGTATATATTACAATAGTCTGTGAAACATGGATTTATCATAATCCTTTTTGTACTTGGACCCTGAAATGGAGAAAGGTCCATTTTTGCTCAACACCGCCTCCAGGATGAAGGATGCTAGCTCATCTTGGAATCCTCTGATCTTGAAGTCTAGTAGCTTTTTATGTTTAAGTTTCTCACGCTGTTGTTGAAGCAAGATGATATTGAAATGCACAAGACAAACACAGTAGTGTGTTTTGTTGAATTAACCAATATACATGAAATGAGAAAGCTACACACCATTTTATTCCCTTCCCTTTTGCTCCCGCGGTACACATGCATTGCCCACATCATGTAGAACCCGCATTTGTTGTTGGCCATTGGCTGTTGTAGGGTTTCCATTTGCATATAATCAACATCGAATTGGGTCCACCTGTTCCCGTCCATATTTTTCATGACACTGTGTGCAACATTATAAAGAGTGAAAGGTGATGACATTAGAATGTACTATGTGATTAGAAAATTATATGTTATTAGGTTCATTTACTTATTTAGCACTGTGAGTAGGTGCTTGATCTGAGAAAGTGGCCTTTTCTTTGAGTCCCACACCTTGATTCGTGATTCTGCAAGTTTGATATCTAAGAGATGAAATTGAAACTGCAATCACAAAGTCAGACTTAATGAATAATCTTCAAAAAGATAAGAAGCACAAAAATAAGAATCGATAATACATCATCGTAGTTGTTTGCTAGGAGTATGTTCGATTTATTATGTTTGATTTCACATAGAAGATTTTGGTCATAGGTTCAATCTGATCTGCCCCATCACAACATTCATCACGTCAGCATGTTTTCTCATTTACTTGACAGTGGTCCAAGAAGGCTATATGATCGAGGCCATTCTCTACGCAAATGTGTGCCTACAACCTGCATAAGCATGGTATATGTTCAAATGTTGAAGACATAGTCTAGTTAATATCGTGATCATAGGGTACTTACAAAAGTCCACAACAACAATATTTGCGTATCGAGGTCCCGCCTCTAGAAGAGCTGAAACAAGGCCTCATATTAGACATAGTGCTTCTCTTCTTGTTTATTAAAAATGCATTCGGCGGGGACAATAACTTCAAAACCTCTGACACCTACTTTGGTATAAAAAATGTAATACTCATGCAGTTGGCGCATATCTATTGGCCAATCTCTAATCTCTGCTTTGGTTTCCATCAAAGGTTTGCCTCTTTTATACTTGTTTGCAGTTTTTGCCTTGTCAATTTCTTTTTGGCCGCTATATATCTTCTCAGCATCCTCCATGCTTAGGTTAAAATCTACAACCAGGTTCTGTATCGCTAGCTTCTCAAGAATGTGTTCTTCTATGACTCTATCTTTATTCGTAGTGCTTCTGGTTTTCCTTTTGTATTCGGAGGGCCGAGGTATGCCCAAATTTTTCACATGTAAAAGTCATGCCTCCTTGCTTGCAGCCTCTGACTCTTACCTCGTATTCAACAAGCTTGTTATGCTCACGCTCATCGGCTTCTTTTCTAGACTAGATTCGGGAGCATTACCTACAGAATTTGATGACCTTTTCTACAAGGTTGATCTTGTTGAGGGTTGTGATGGAACTTGTTTGGATCTTGATGGAGGAGGAGGGGAGATTTCTCTTTTATGCGGTGTGATGAAGAGGTAGGTGGAGGGGGGAGGAGGAGACTTCTCTTTTATATGGGTGATTAAGAATTATGCGGATGTAGAGGAGAGTCATCTCCTCTAGGGGCATGAAGATCGAGGCGGATGATCTCTAGGCAGCATTAGTGCCCTATGAGGTGACAATTCACCATCATCCTCATCACCCGAAGATGGCTGGTCATCAAGCTTTATGAAGCGGCATGTCTTCCTTGGCCTTATTCTAAACAGTAATCCCCTCCTATTATGAATTTGTCCCTAAGATACTTCTTGATGTGGCCAAGGCCTCTAATCTGATCAACAAGATGAACAAGTAGATGCATTGACATATCAAAGTAAGTCAGTGGGAAATGCATCTCAAGCCTACTTAGGGTATTGGCTATGTCCTGCTGCAACTGGTCCAGCTTGGTCACATCAATGACATTTTGTTAGATCGCATTGAAGAATGAGCACAACTTTATGATTGGGTAGTGGACCTTGTCGAGGAGGATACCACGAAGGGCATCTAGGAGCAAATGAGTCATAATGACATGACAATCATGGGCATTCATACAACCAAACTAGCCTCTTCGGCTTCGCACAGTAGCCCGTCGAGACATTGAGTTCATTATGAAAGAACATACCATTGCCTTTTCTCCATTTTTCCAGGTCGATGATACAACTAGAAGTTTCCTCTAGCCATCCCCAAGACTTATGGGATGTAACTCTTCCTAAGTCCCAAGCATTGCATGTCCAGGTGTGTTTTTAGTGAATCCTTTGCTGCCCCCCTCCCATGTTCATCAAGGTGTTCAGTGTGTTAGTGCACATGTTTTAAGAAATGTGCATGGGATCAAGACAGTGACATACACTCAAAGTGGCCAATAAGGTAGTTTCTAGAAAACCAATTTTTCCTTCCACAAAGCATCGGCTAGCGTGGGTACTGCCCCTTC